TCCCCCCCCCCAAAAAGCGAAACAAAAACATAGTTGTGAGATAACAGCAAAGCATCCTACCCCCCATTAACCACTCTATTATTTGCTGTTTTCGTTGACATAGGAGAAGGCAAACCAAAGGGAAAGGCAAAAAAAACATGACATGGAAAAGACAGCTCGGCAGTCAAGAAAGCGAGTCTTGTAGGTGATCCCTTATGTAGATGTTGTACTGTAGGTAAAATGAAATTCGGGTTAAAATAGTTTCAATCTAGGCTGAATTCAATTCCTTTGTTTCTAACTCTAATATTATGCATGACTGACTCTGTAAATAAACTGTGTCAAGAGTACACCTCAAGTAAGTGGTAACTATCAATCGCACCATGGTGTGTCAATGTACCCCTGGTTTCACAAGACAGTTTAAGTCTCAACCAAGGGTAACAACATTGTACTTTGGTACCAGGGGCCAATTTAAGGGTAGGTCCGAGGGGAGGTTCCCTTTTTTGTAAAATTTTCTTTAACTGTTAAAGGATTCTCAGTGAAATAAAAAGCATCTATATAGCTGGCAAGTGCTGCGGCCACCCCTTTCTGAATTTTTTGGATCCGCCCTTAAATACTCTTTTGCAGTAATCACTCTTTTAGTTATGTTAAATAAACTATCCTTGTTTTGAAGCAGACTTACATTGTACATAAAAATGTTGTCTCCTTTATAGCTACAATCGCTTCATTCAGAGCAAAGACTTATCATCAAAATCCGCTGAAGACATGGCATGTATCTTTGGTCAGCGAAGCAAGTCAGCCCCTGGAACTCCTCAGGATTATTCAGAGGTTGTTATAAACCTCAAAGTACTTTAACTTTAATTTGTACTGTTAAATTTTATTTCGTTTTCTGGTTTGTAGTTTACTCTTTAGATTAATAGTAAAACTATTCTTTTTTCTTGAAATCTTGGCTTACATACTTGAGTTTGAGGCAAAGGTGTGTTTTTTGTCTTGGTGGATCTTACAAAGACGCAATACACATGAATTCAACGTCTTTCCAGAAATGTAACTACATTCAATATGAATCACCAGATATCTTCTCTTGACCACTCTCGCTTTTTTTCCTTATAATCATTATAATGCTGAGTAGTACATTTAAATAGCTTTCAAGGCTGTTGAGTTTATTATGCGCGAGAATTATCATTACAAGTAGAAGGTAGACATCAAATATTTGTTTTTGCTGCAAACAAACTTACAACCTATAAGATCCGCTCTCAGTATGCTCTCTTCAAATGAACGAGGAAATTAAGAGAGATTTAAAGTCACGTTTACGGTAAACGGCAAACGTGGATTTTTGCCACGTGACCAAGTTTTCCCTCTACATGTACTTGTCTTTAACTGTTCTTTTCTTCTACAAAAAATGAGTAGTTTCACGTGACTTTCAGCCAAAAGAATTGTTTTAGAGTATTTTTAACTGCTCATTTTCTATTTTGAGAAATTCTCAACTCCAGTCTGCCCTTTGCCGTAAAAGTGACTCTAAATCTCTCTATTGTATGAACGTGTCTGCGCCATATTGGTTAAATAGGTATGCCCTTTAGCTGCAATAAACTATCTAGCTGTCTGTCCAAATTCTGTATGAACCTTCAGTGGAACTTTTCAATGGAAACCTCACGAGAAATAGATGGTATAGTAAACATCGTTTTCTTAGTTTTTTTAGGAAGTGAAATTGAGAGCGTTTTCTCGTATTTGTCTTCCTGTTTCCCGTGTTAGGGTGAAGAGTCAGACGAAAGCACATCGTCTTGTCCGCCTCCAGCCATCCACGGTGTCAAAACCATCACCTCAGGCCAGAGTATTCAAGAATACTTTGAGAAAAAGATGAAAGAAATAAAGGCCGCGAGGGAGGGCAAGGCAGCGGGACAAGAGATGAACAAAGAGGAACAAGCATCTGCAGATGAAATTCAGGGGAATAATTCGGCGAATCCAGAAAACTGTGGGAAAGAATCGAAGTTAAGGAAAAAGAAGGAGAAGGGACGAAAGAGGAAATTTTCAACGGAGAATCCTGAGCCGCAAAGCGAGGAAGTTATTACAGAGGTTGATAAAGATGAGCGCTCCGCAAAGAAAAAGAAGAAAAACGAGGATTTGGACGTGAAACTCGAAGAAAGCGAGGATGTAGTTGTAGTCCAGGAAGCACGAAAAGTGGAGAAAAAGAACCGGAAAAGAAAGGAAAAGAAAGCTAAAATGACAGACTCTGAGATTTGCGACGTTGGTGTAATTCAAAGTGACAGCAAAGAGTGTTCGACAATGAAGGATGTGAAACCTATAAAGGGAAAAGACAAGATCTGTAAAAACAAGGACAAGAATATATCTCATGTAGAGAAAAGCGTGATAAAAGACAAGAAGGTTAAATTGGAAAAGCCAAGAGACATTAGTGAGGAAGAAGAAAGTAAAAACAATAACGGAAAGAAAGGGAAAAAGGGTAGAAGTTGTATTTCTCATGACTTGGCCAATGTTGAATTTGTGGCAAAGAAGGATCGAAAGAAAAAGAAGAAAAAAGATAAATCTAAAGAGGGCAAGAAACGTGAATAACAGATGAGGATTGCTTATTGGAACCGTACTGAAGAGTTCACCACCTCATTGTGTCTTGTCCAGTCAATTGCACCACTATTTTTAACATCCCTTAATTTTGTTTAGAATTTGACTGCTGTCGTGAACACACTTCGAGATATATTCATTTCTTGGGTTGTCACACTAGCCAATTTGTCTTGGATTTTTTGTCGCAACAAAATTGCGAGAAAAGTTCTCTTAACGACGAATGATGATCTTCAGTTTGTTGAGTTACGTCGAGAACTGATGCATGCTAATGTGATTCATGCTACATTTAATACCAAGTGTCCCCTGGCCCTATTGTCAGCGGTCTCACCGTAACGTATATATACCCGCGTGCTGTTCATGTCTGGTTGCGACCTCCTATGAGTCTGGTTCTAACAGGATGTGTGACCTCCACTCTCTTCATCTAAACCCAGGGCCCACCTCGGGGATTGCTTGCAGGTTAATGCCCCACGGTGGGGCCAGCAGGTTCATACAGATATCTACCTTGGGGCTTAAAAAATGTGAGCAAATGCCCCACCCAAGAGACAGAGCAATAATTACGGGAATGCTTAGAACTGACTGAGCTATAGAGTGTTTTCACATGACTTCACGTCAGCCATATTGGTGTCCCAAAACAATGAAAGGGCGGCCATGTTGGTGTCCCAAACCAATCCTGTGGGAGATGAACTCTTTTCTTATGCAAATGATTTCTTTTGTTCCAAAACATTTGCATAGATGCTGGCCACGTGAGTGAAAACACTCTATTGGTGTCGAGTATTCAACTGTCGTGTTAATTGTCTTCACCCTGAAATACTTGTTTTCCTTTCTTACGATTTTCCATGTTGAATTATTAAGCAACCCTTAATTTCTTGGTAGACAAACGGCTACCAGGGGGACTATGGAACGATGTCTCACTGGAATCGCTGTAAGTGGCCCCAGACACACATAACGGACAAGGACACAGGCAGGAGAATTCAGGCACGATTTTTTATTGACAACTCGTTCGTATTTTTAAATTGAAGTAGGAAGCGTTCCTTTCCCTACAAATCCTTTTCAAAATCCCGATTTTTCCTGGGGGAGGGGAACGTCTGTACGCAGGCTACGCAGACTTCCGAGGTTCTCAAGAAAACGATTTTAATATGACCCATGCGGACATAAAATATACGAGATTTTGGGGAATGATTGGTTCCAGTTTTTTTTACCCTAAATCCTTTCTGTCGGAAAATGAATCAGTTAAACCTGTAACAGCTCAAAGGTTTCTGCTGGTCGTGACGAAATGATCCGTAAGCTGTGAGGTGGCGTCAGATCGAAGTTTTCGATCCACAGGCGAGATAGAGATAGATAGTTTATTCTGATTAAAATCGCAGCCAAAAGCTGAATTGGATTAATCGTTACAATAATAAAATCTAATAAAAATATGAGAAAAAATATAAGAAAAATGTACACATACGTAGCTAAAAATTTAATCACAGTTGCTATATATAAATGTGTCCCTAAGTCTCTTCGTCTTAGCCAGAGGGACATTAAGATTCCTCTTTCGTCTTAAATTGGATTCACAGTTGTTACGAGGTGGCAAGAGCTCATGCAGTTTATGGTGTGAGTTACTAGTGATGGAATAAAAAAGCTTAGTTGTGATAGACTGCCTGCGTCGAGAGAGCGTCTCTAAGTTGGCTAGATGTAATGCGTCGCTATATGGTACAAACGGAAAAATAATTCGCATGGCGCGCTTCTGTAGCTGTTCTAGCTCTGCGGATAAATAGGCGTGAGACTTTGTTGCGTGAATCGCGAGATCTTGTAACCTGCACAAACTATTAAGAACGCGTTATTGGAGGCTCTCAGACGGGTTCCAAGGCCCAAGCGCAAAACACGCGAGACGAGGTAAAATGGAATAAGTTTTCTCTTTTCTCTTTAGGTTTACCATGTTTTATCATCTGTGCATTCACTGTCCTGTCCTGATCTCCACATAACTGGAAAACTGTCACTCGTGTAGTAAGCATCTCCAGGTTTTAACCCTAAAGGAAAGCTGGGCGCGGTCTCCCAAGGCCTATTGGCGAATGTTGCATCTTCTCCCAGCCAGCGAGTGGCAATCACTTGTCGTCCAGAAATGTCACTAGTTTGTTTGGCACCATGAACAGTGAGCATATGAAAAGCTATGCAATCACCGGGCTAAGAATAAAGAAAATAAAATTTAAGATAACACACAAGCCAGCCTGCAAGTTGACGTTGTCTCACTTGAGAGTTAAAGACGTCCCCTCATAATTTGGTTACTGCCTTCTTCATTCAAAGCTTCAAGCTGACCTGTAAAGCCAGCTCATACCAGGGGTTTATTCCGGGGCGTACCCCCTGTAATGGCCTATACGAGAAGGCTCCGCACAGAAGGGGCCCCTTTGTCATACTTCAGGTATATGAAAGGGTAGGGGTTTCACTAGCTAAACTATATGAAAGGGTTGAGAAATATGTCATTGGAGTTTGTAAAAGGACCTTAAAGGGCTAACAGGCACTTTAATGGTAGTGAAAAAGTCAACAAAAGATTCTGGTTTAGTGATTTATTCATAACTGAAAAACGGTGCATTTACAGCAGTTAAAAGAAATGCAGCGTTCTACACAAAGGATGCTCCATGGGAGCTTAAATTCTTTGGCAAATCTGAACTATTATGCCGGCCAATTCAAGGTATTAACCCTGACTCATAGCAGGGATGAAATTTAGGGTGCATTTGGTCAATCTTATAATTCTGGAACAGGAATTTGCTCTATTCTGCTGTGTTTTCCAGACAGTAGTTCAGCCATTTCTTCGCAAAACACATGAAATCTTTGGCCGTTTTATCCCACTGAGCTACTGTTCCTTCTACTGCCCCTTATCTTTTGATTGTAAGTACAATATTAGTGTCTTGCTGATATCGGAAAACATCCTCTAAATCTGGTCAGTGCTAAGCTGGGTATGAGTCAGGCTAAGCAGCTGCTTAATTTAAGGACTAATATTTTTTTCTTGTTCTCCGAAAGTCAATCAGTTAAAAATTCACTGGTCAGTAACCTATTGTACCACCAGATCCCACGAGAACAGTTCATACTTGTCTGGTTCTCCATCTATGTCAGGGATAGCTTCAAATGCTTCTTGTTTGCTGTTAGTGTTGGAGTCATCAATTAGGTTGTAATTTTTTGAGGAAGCAAATTTCCTGGGAATGAACCACTTTCCCCATTTATGAGATCCACCAACATATTTCAAACAGGAGTCTTAAGATACAGGAGTCACTGGTAGCCATAATGAACAGTTCTGTGGATATATTTGATATATAATGGGCATTTTATTTAAATTTTCAGGATCCAGGATTTTCTGGATTTTTTACCTCAATGATCCATACTAAGTCCAAATAATGCAGTGTACTGTAGGCCAGATAGGTGTCTTTCAGGAGCCAGTAATACATAAATCTTAACGTCGGACATAACAACGGTTACCAAAATCTGACATCTGCCCAATCAAACTCTTCATTTTTTAAAAATGCTTTATGTGTAAGTACTTATGACTAACATTTAGTCTTATGCAACTGTCCCAATGATAAGGGTTCTTCTGGTTGTTTGCAACAAGTACATTTCACACTTAGCATAACAACTAGTCTTGTGTGATCTGATGGGTGGCACCTAGGCAAGAATCTCTCTAACCTATACCATGCACCTTATCCACCACTTATTAAATCTTTCATTTGTCCATGCAGCACTTATTCAGAACTTCAGTCATCATGTGTGAATGATACATGAAGTAGCATTATGGCTAGTTCTTTCTTTTTCTCTGTTTTGTCCAAAACTGATAAAAACAGCAGAGAAAGAATTGAATAAAAGTTTAGATCATATTAACTAACCTCTCATTTTTATTTTTATGCTATTAAGACAGGATTGCAACTGTCCCAGGCAAGCAGACTTTGATAATTATTTTAAATTATTTTCAAGACATGACTCCCTACCCCTAAGAGTTTCCATTGACTTGGTGGGGTTGTTGACAGGCAGGGGGGGTGGGGAGGGGGAAGAACAGAATTATACTTTCTAATAATACCTTCCTTCCATTCACAGGATAGTATGGTTGATCTTGGTGCCATGGTGTCCCACGTGTTGTACCAGGATCTTTAATAAACACATGTTCATGAAAAAACACTGCAAACTTCAAATTAAAAAAAAGATTTAGAACAGGAAATGTAAATATACCTGTAGAATCAGTTAGACTGCATTTAATGCTGATTCACCCTCAAACTTAATTGCAAACTCTCCACATTTGATAGCTTAAAACTGGTGGATATTTTTTGTGTTTGAGCCTGTATAGCCTGTATGGCAAGTGTTTCTGTGCACTTTTTGAGAAAAGAACGAGGAACAAAGGTCAAAGACCATGTGAAAAATGGGGCAAGTAAGTAAACGAGCAGGGTGGGGAAGAAAGGAAGGAAGGAAACTTTCTTCCTTTCCCTTTCCATGCCCCGCTTTCATTTTTTAGCTCTTGTTCCATTATTTGCGCAGCCAAAACTGAAAATCCCCTTCCTTTGTCTCTCTTTCCTCCGAAACCAAACAGAAACTCTTGCTATACAGGCTAGCACCCATACATGTACAGTGTATGACATTTGCCAGCAAACTTCAACCAATACATTTAGTTTAACTGCAAACAGCTTTTCTTTATTTAATGCTAAAAATACACTGTAAAGGGGCTTCTAGTTGTTTTTTGTTTGTAGTTTGAGGGATGAGATGCAAGTTATCCACTGAGAACCAAACATGTTATTTGCTATTAAAAACTGCAACATTGGTAACTCTGGATTTCCATTCTACAGTATTTAATTGTGTATAGAGTGTTTTCAGTCACGTGGCCAGCATCTATGCAAATTTATTGGAACAAAAGAAATCGTTTGCATAAGAAAAGAGTTCATCTCCCACAGGATTGGTTTGGGACACCAACATGGCTGCCGTTTTATTGTTTTGAGACACCAATATGGCTGCCATGACATCATGTGAAAACACTCTATTAAATCATTTAAATTGAGCTACTCTTTCTGCAAGTGATGGCATTGTCACAGCGACTACTCTGAGAGGTGGTGGTATGGCAACTGGAAGAATGGGCCATTTTACAGTTATGGATTGAAGTGCAGGGTGGATGGTGACCTTGTTTTGATACAAACCTTCCTGTTTTATTATGTAAATCAAGTCATTCTTATGCTAACTAGTATTTTTCAAGGACAATTTTCATTACAAAGGAAAGGAGGTTTGTATCAAAACAAGGTCACTGTCAGCCTCACATTCACTCGAAGGCTAGGGTACTAAGTCCACAGCTGTAAAATGGTGTATTGAAGAAAATTTAATACATTATAAACTGCAATGAACATGCAAAACCTTAAAATGGTATGTCATAATCTGAATTGAAGTTTTAATACATGCTTACTGAAAGATTGGAGGAGACTAGGTGACAGGGAGGGAGACACACACAACCTACCTCTGGGAAGCCTGTGTGCAGCCCAGCCCCCTATTTTAAAACCTACCTTCCTTAGTATAGGGGGGTGGGGGATAAAATATGGAATGCCCCGTGTGCAAACAGTATCCCAGGTAGAAGAAACAGTGGCCAGGTAGCTTGGCAGCATACCATAAAATCAGTTATATTATATCGGAATTGGGCAAAGTTTATTAACCCAACCGCCCTTTTTTTTGGAGTACCAAACTTTTCGTAAATGTGATTGAGCAGCAAGGCCTCAGGCGAACCTTTTTACGACAAAACAAACCTCAGACTTCATCAGTTTGCCGGCGATTGCTGCAGCTGGCGATAAACGCACAAATTCCTCAAACTCTGGGATCCGACGCCAGTTAAAATAATCATTGAAGTAGAAGGTCTGCGAATCTTCGCTTTTAATCCATTCACCGCGGTCGTTGCTGGGGTTTGCATGGTTTGTGGCAATACCTTTCTTCAGCTTTTCGACCCATTCTCTGAACGCACCCCTGAGACATACAACCCCTAGCCTGTTCCAGGCGTTCAGATAGTGGGGAGCGGTGCGAAGTAAAAAGGAGCGCCAAAAAATAAAAGCGAGGGAGGAGGAGTCTCCCCAGTCCCCCTCTACTTTTTATCGCTTTCTTTACTTCGCACCGCTCTCCACTATCTGAACGCTTGGAACAGGCTATACGACCCCTTGTGTTTGGAAAGTCTCTATATCGTGTGCTGTGACAAGATGTCGTGAATCTAAAGACTTGAACAGTCTAGTTTTCGCAGAACTGCAAACACGAAGTATGCGCCACATGATTCCTCACGTAAATCATCAGCTATTTTACTTGGCTCGCAGTGAAACCATCGTTTTGTTGAATTGATGATCCGGCGCGAATGAACGTCGCTGAAACCACAGGCAGTCCAATCTCAAATAAAATTCCTGACTCGTCCCCAGTCGTCTGTCTTCCCTTTTCCTCCTTCCCATCACCCCTCGCGCTTCTCTCGTTTCCCAAGAGAGACGACTGGGGACGAGTCAGATAAAATTCACAATTGAAAATTCTTGTAATTACCATAATAAAAACTTTACAATATTAAAAGAGATATCCTTAATAAAATACAAGGTCTACTAAAAAACTATAACCAACTAATAAAAAATACTGTCTACTAAAACTACTCTAAAAATCGTACTAAAACTAATAAAAAAATTTCCGCATTCCTTGCATAACAAGGCACTGAGCATCTAAAAAAGGCAGCTTTATTGTGAAAAGGGTTCTATTGCGTAATTCTCAAATGGAACATAAAAGATTTGTCTGGGAATTCAGGTCATAAATTCAAGAGGATAAATAAGTGCAGTAATTTTCAACAAAAAAACACTTAACCTGAATAACTTGGTTTGCTCTTGCTTGCTGTGTGGTTATTTTCCGGGCGCTGTTATTTTAAGCGATTTCCTTTATTCCAGAGTTTCCACTACTAAAGAAAGGATGTTCACGGCCATTTAAGGATCACACAATATGAGACCACACGTTTTAACGATTAAACTCGCAATTATCTGTTCCGTGTTGTCCTTCAGAAGCATAATTAAAAAATATAAAACTGCTCTAGTGAGGCCTTAAACTGCTGTTTAAAAAAAGCAAAATCCAAATTATAAAATTCAAGCTCTCGCCGATCAACGGCATCATCAGGGATGAGTAAATATTCTCCGCGCGCTATATATATACACATAGGCGTACGGGAAATTTTTTGCCAGGGGGGCGGTAAACCATTTGCCCAAAAAATCACGCAAGTTGCCCAAATTTTTACGAAAGAGTCGAAAAGAAATGAGAGCCATATTGCAACAACACAGGCCGTCCTGGCATATGAAGGGTGCTCGATACGGTTTTTCAGGGTCAATACGAAGTCTGAGCATAAACTACGTCGCCATAAACAAACATTTGGAAAAATTGCGACCACAGTCGTATTAAAATGAAAATTTGTCATCATCAGGGTTGCAACGACATCGGAGTTGTCATAGCAACGAAATGACTCCCCCCCCCCCAATTCACGACTGGAAATAGCCCATTCCAGCTAGTGCAGTGCAGTATAGTGCCCAACAAAAAACTGCAAATATGTAAATTACTCATCACATGCTAGGCAACCACTGTAATGTAACTGGATTATTACGCCGACTTCAGGTTAATATTCAGGTCTTTAAAATAATTAAATAAACATGGAGACGTCTTTAAAAACTGACTTTGCCCAAATTTTCTCTCGCTGCCCAAAAAATCTGAGTTGCCCAAAATTTGGGGGGGCTGCAGCCCCCCTCGCCCCCCCGGCCCGTACGCCTATGTATATACAAAGAAAGTGTAGAGTGAAATGTGTAAAAGATGTGACGTATGTATGAAAGCTATAGAAATAAACTGTGAATGGAATACAACGCTATAATGATGGAATGTCTCTAGACAAAGGACCTTTAAAAGCGCTTAAGAATGGTCTCGGAAATACTAAAATAGAGGGTCAGCGAAAATAAATGTTTTTAGAAAAAAAACATTCCGGTACTTGCCCACGAATCCTACACTCTCAGACGAGCCCTATCCCACACTTCCAAGGGGCGCAAATGCACTAGAGACAAATGCCCTATCTCTAACACCGGATTGTGTTTACGAAGAAATGCAGTGTACCAGCTCACGTGTAACAGCTGCGATCAGCTATACCTTGATAGCACGACATCCACGACGGCGTAAAAGAACATCTCAATAATAAAAACTTCTCTGTGAAATAATATATCTATTCCTGCCAGAACAAAGACTATAAAGGCCTTGAGGTCAAGATTATTATAAGCGAAAACGACCCCGCTAATCTACGCCTTTATGAAGCATTTTACATTAGTTAGTGCAAGCCTACACTCAATTCCCGGGAGGAATGTAATGAATTCGTAGACCTTCTATTTTAGTATTTTAGAGACCATTTTTAAGCGCTTTTAGAGGTCCTTTGTCTATAGACATTCCATCAGCTTTGTATTCCATTCACAGTTTATTTCTATAGCTTTCATACATACGTTACATCTTTTATACATTTCACCCTACACCTTCTTTGCATATATATATCGCGCGCGGAATATTTTCTCATCCCTGGTGATGCCGTCTATTGGTTAAAGCTTGGATTTTGGGTTTTACTTTTTTAAAACAGTAGTCAGTAAGGCCTCACTAGAACAGTTTTGTATTCATTTAACTCTCATATTGAGCTTTGGCTGCCTGTGCATAACCAAATTCGGTTAGCAAGGCGTAGAGGAGTAAGGGTGGAAGGTTGAGGGTTAGGGTGAGGGTGCGGGTGAAGGCGGGGAGTGAGAGTAAGCGGGAAGAAGGAGTGGTTGAAAAGAACACGAGGAAGATAGGCTAGTGTTAATGTTTTAGCTAGCTTTCACTTTTCTGAAATAACAGTTTACCTTGTATTTCCAAAAACGAGAACGCGAAATACTTGAAGTACAAAAGAAAAGGTAATCGATCACTTACCCATCCGTCAATAGTCAATATGCTTTTCTAGCTGATCTACCGTCAACGGTGTGAGTAGGTCTGCATGTGCCGGTGTGAACATTTCCATAGTCCAGTTTTCTTTTCTTCTTTCTTTGACAGAGAGTTACTTAGGGGACGATCGACGAGTTTAGAAAATAAAATCTTTTCCATTGGGAGGGCAGCTTGTGGAGTTGAGGGAGGGGACTACTCAACAAACATTTTTCCTGGAAGGCTACGTCCTGATGTCCAACCCCTTACCCTTTTCGGTACCATTTTTTATAGAAAATGTACCCTTTAGTACACCTTCCATTGAAAAAGCTCCCCTTTTCACCTGTAAGTCCCTTTGGGAGTGAAATTAGGGAGAACATGATAGTAAAAGGATTAAATTAATTGCAAAAACCGTGGACGAAGATCCTGCTAGTTGTAAACGTTTGATCTCTAGACTCGAGATCAAATCAGCCAAAATATAAAGAACAAGAACATTTTCTTTTTTTTCCAAATACATCTCTGTCCTTCTTTTTTGCTTATTGTCAAGAAAATATTTGACTGCAGTGTCGGTTGTTCGCCACGGCTCCACGTGCACAGCCGTAGCCTGCGTGCAGACAGCTTAGTAAGAGTGGGGATGAGGTTGTCAAGACAAGATCACCCTCCCCTGGACAGTCAACTTGAGTACACACGAAAGCGAGACTCAAACAATGTAGCACCAGTCAACATGGCGGTCGCTGAGGACATCCTAAAAGATCCTTATTTTGCTGACCTAGATATCGACCTGAGTCAGTTTTCCGAGGAAGAGAAGACGGTTATTCTTGGTGTTATGCAAAAAGCTAAAGTTAGTGTGAAGAATAATGGATATCTTTCTCTTGATTTCAAGTATTTTACCTGTTAAACATTAGGTTGTAATGATTTTATCGTCTCTATCTGAGTCACAATTTGTTCTCTTGGTAAAACAGTTTGTTAACTTTATCTTGTCCTCTGTGGTTTGCGTTATTCATTGTAGGTGTTGGATCAAAAGGATGAAGACAGATTTAGGTAAGATATTTTTGTTTTATAATTATACCGTAATTATGGGGATTTATTTATTAAATGAGGTCTATAATAGCTAGGACTTCTTCTAGATCATGATCAGTTTCTCAAATTGATAATAATTATCAATTACAGAAACTGATCATGATAACGAAGAAGGTCTAGCTATCATAGACCCCATTTAATGATATGGTACCGTTTTCAAAGGAAACCGTCAGAGGGACAGCTTAGTAAGTGGACAAATCTTATGAAGGGCTGGCAATTTAGGTGGTTCACGTTAGATCCTCATTCAGGACTACTGGAATATTATGTGGTAAGAACAAGTTATCATATTTTTTTACGCAAACAGTGAGCTTAATTAACTTCAATAGTCAGCGTTGAATGCATGATTAACACCTGATTTCTCTTTAGCTAATTTAAACGTGTACAAACAAAAGAGGTGTCCATTTTGTAACTTGAGTAGTTACTTTGAGCTGCATTTGTGGGGTTTCCTTGGTTATTTTTTAACAAAAGTTGGCATTACACCTAGTGATGAGCATTAACATCTTAGAGAATAATCTGGGATTTGGAATAAAAATTTGAAATATTATAGGGTGACAAAAATTAGAAATTCACCTTACTAGCCTGCTGATCTGACTAACCTGTTCTTGGCCCCCTGGGAAAAGTGGATCGAAAAATATTTGCTTGCTCCCTTTTTCGCTCTTTGCCCTCTTTTTTTGCTCATCTTCACTGACCAAGAGCCTGGCAAAGGCTAGATCTAAGGTTCTTAATCTAACCTAGAGCCAAACTATTTTAAAACTGGTTTTTCTCAGAAAGGTAACAAACTTGGCAGCCCACTGGGCAACCACATGAAGGGTTTTGATAGGTTTCAAGTAAGTTCAGAGTAAGCTAAAGAAGGTATTATGTTTAGGCTGCCTTTAATAAGCTAGCCTGATGACAGCACTGGTTTTCCTGATGAATGACATCTGAGATAGGAGTGCAAAAATTCTGACTGATGACGTTTCACTACCCATATCTGGGTAGTGCTTCTGATTGGTTGAAGCAAATTTTAAGCCAATCCAGTCTGTTACGGACTGTTAGCCATAAACCAACACAAATACGCTTCAAATGTAACATTAGTCATTCTATAAGCCATAAAGATGTCCATGATTTCACATCCAGATCGTTATTTGAGGCTTGTTGATGGCATTAGCCTGTTTGGTAGACGTAATCTAACCGCATTAGTAACATCTGTGATGTTGTGCCGATATCCATGTTCTGGGCCCCTGAGAGAATTAATGAATTAAAGGAAATGCATTTCAAT